AGGAGAATCGAACATCACATTAGGAGAAAAAGAAAAAAACGGGCTACTCGCACTATCTATACGAAGTCCTTACAATAAAACTGTGATACAGTTCTTTCTTATTAAATGATAAAAAATGAATTAGGTATCATAATAGGTATTTATGATTATCGAAATTTAATGTAAAACTCAGAATTATACTGTTTTTAAAGTTTATTTTAACGATATTACTTCATGTTACAAAAAAGGGTTACTTACCGCATTAATATTATAAATAACTATTGCTAAACTCATATTTAACGCCAAAGTAATTTTTTGCAGTCGCAGCTTAGTTTCTATACCAGGTTACTCCTTGTTTATTTTTACCAATCGTGCATTGGCGTATACATTTTATACCTCAACGCCATCGTGTAAATAAAAATGCAGCACAGTCATATTGAGATATAATGCATAATGGAATTGTGGAATTTATTTTACAAAGCATTCCTAAAGCTTCTGCATATGATACCCATTTGTATTGGGCACGTGCGTAAATTACCAAGGCGTTAGTATGAATATTCAGTATAATTTTCTGCAAAAGTGTATTTGTAATCATAGAGTTAAGGTTCATATTAGAATTCGACTTTATCAATGCCAGGTAATATCTGCTCAGATCATGCTGATTTATGAGATCCTGGCTGGACTCACGGAATATGTTTATCTTTACTTTAAACTATTTTGTAAACAGTGTGTATCTTTGTAGAAATTTATAGAACAAGTTCCATTTTCTCAGTAAGCGTTTTGCTGCTTCTGTAATTTTCTGTCCTTGCAATAACGTGAAACTTAGAAAAGGTATTATTTCCTCTTGAATATTGTTGTGTCTTAACCTACTCTACCATATAAATTTCAAGTATGTAAGACGACGACAATATATGGAAAGTAACCTTAAACGGATGGATGTAATGCCGCATTAACGATGAATAAACCCAGTATAAGGTAACTTTATGTGTTTTAGTTATTATCACAGCATCTTTTTATAGTCTCATGCAATCCGACTTAGTCAGTCGGTAAGTCACAAACCAAATTTGGCAACTTTTTTTGTAACTCTGCCACTATCGCCGTAATAGCAAATTTATTTACACTACTTGAAGTTGAGATGTATTTACCAAAGCAATCATCTGCTCAGTGATTAATCTCAATGTCAACAATTTTCATGCGAGTGCACTTTATATTACTATTGAAAATTAATAGGTGCGAAGTGTTCCTGGCATGTTTTGTACCCACGTCTTAGATTTACGGTAGTGTTGGAAACAGTAACGTAAAATGTATGAATATTCTATAAACTACTGAAACGGAATCTATTAAAAATATACTGAAAACACCAACACAAATAAACTATATTTGCTGTCCTGTCTGTATTAAAACTAGACTACGTAAAAGAGAATTCATTTCGATTCGTACCTATTTAAAAAAATGTTTTGCAGTAAATATCAACAAGAATGAAACCATAAACGCAAAATAAAAGTTACTTTTATCATACTTTATAAAACATCGAATAATCAAAAAGATACTTGGTAAATGAAACTCATGTTTTTTTAAGAAAAATCACTGCACTAAATACATAATACGTCAAAAATAAAATTAAGTACACAACTTACAACTTATAAGAAATCAGGGAAAGACCTAAATATTATTTTTCAAATGACATTACCAATTATGTTGGAATTTCTTAGCATGTTCGGTGTACTTCATGTTATCGAATACCGTCATTAACGTAAATAACTACAACGCGACATCAAACGCGTGAACATCAAATTAACACAATTAAATTGGTGCACAATCGAACGTCGTCGGCACCGGGTGCATTCATTTCAAACACTATCAGTACATCAATGTATTGCCCATAAACAAACAAACCGATAGACAAACAAACAAAATAAGAAGCTTAATTTTTTACAACAGTGAATCTTTTTCTTTCTCTATACAGAATGAAAAATAGAGACTGATGTTAAATTTAGTTTAGAGAAGCACGCATGCCAGAATCGACACTTCCGTATTGTTTATAATTTTTATGTGACTATTTACCTGCATCGATACAAAGTACTTTTTATAGATATTATCATATTTCAACGTCGAAAAAAGATTTTGGCGTCGGGCGGAGCTCTTTAAATCTAAACTTGACAACAGAGAAAAGGAGAGACAACAGAGAAAAGGAGAGAGAAATGAAAGACGAGTTAAATATAGTTTTAAGCTTAGAGAATCATGTCAGAATCGACACCTTTGTTTGGTTAACTTATAGGTCGTGACGTGAATGATTGAATGTTCATGTTTTATAAAATCTACCGATGTATATTTGTTTTATCAACTTGCTATTTGTATCGGCAGATGCACTTAATTATGTATGCTTGAATGTTTTCCAGTAATAAAAATACCATTTATTTTTCGTTACATCACTATGAATTTCGGGCGGCCGCTAGTCTTCAATATATTGACAAAACATTGACAGGGGGCTTGATAAATAGTAAAGAGTCCACAGGAATTTCGAAAATATTGACAAATTAAAATATGGTGGTGGTTAGAAAATCACGTCTATGATTTCCTGCCGTAGAAAGACAAATAGAGAAGAGTCTAGAGGCATGGCCCTGACGCATTGGTGTTAGGTTACAGCAAAGGACGACTCTGATAAAATTTATTCTAAACTAAAAACAGAAGCTCCATATCTGGTCGTATGTAGTATGGTAATATATTGGCCGTGTGTAAAATAAGAAGAATTATAGTATAAATTTATAGAGATAAGAAAATATTTAGTTTTAAAAATATATTTTTAGGTTCTTAACGTAACTGATGGTAATTCATTAAGTGTAATTATTCGATTTTTTTAAGTTTCATTTGACGGTACATATATGTAACAGAACATAAACTAGACAAATAAGCTATCTGGTCACTTTGCGACCTAGTCATTTTGAGATGTGGTCAAATAAAGGTGTAGTCATTTTACGATCTAGTCCTTATTTGATGTGGTCAAATAAAGATCTAGTAATCTTGCGAAATTAACATTATGCGAATAGTCAATTAAAGATCTTGACGAAATGGTATGTAGGTAGTCATTTTACGATAAAGTCATTAATGGGGATAGTCACATTGCGAACTAGACAATCTGAGATCAACCCATAAAATCAAACAAATGCAAGTATATAAGGAAGCTCACATACAAAGTCGTGATTATTTCGTTATTTTTTCCGTCTTACCTATAAAAGTCGTCATTAAAAAGTTAAAAAAAATACCTTCTTTCGTAGTAATTTATGTTATATACGAGATTGCTACATGTTCCTTTTTTTTGCGAGTCCGCAAAACGTATTTCAGTACTGTTTAGTTTAGTTTAGTTTTTCAGGGCGGTTGTCGCACTTAATCCTAATTATTGAACCATTGTGCGTGTCTCAAAACATTCCCGTTTACTCCAGCCAGCCTATATTAGTCCAGAAGGAAAGCAGCGTTGGTAGACTGCTGCAAGCTTCCGGAAACGATTCTGGTGACTGGAGAAGTGCCCGTTGGTCGGCCACACTCCTGCATTCCATGATGACATTCTATGGCGTTTCTTCTGCCTCCATGCATCCTCTGCATAGGGGGATGTCTGTTACTCCTATTGTATATAGATGTTAGTTTAGGAGACAATGACCAGTCATGGTTCTTATAAACTTGCGAAGTTTGTCCCTATTTAGTCTGGTAAGGGTGCGGGCAAGTATTTTGTTTGCCGCCGGAACTGCAGTTTTCGTTTGACGGCATCCTTTAACTGTTTTCTACTCTGCATTGTTGCAAGCGTGATGATCAAGGAGGCACTGCCACTGCAATGGTAGCAATCACATAAATTTCTATAATGTTAGTGACCATGAAAGTTTAAAACAATATGTTTATGTCATTTCTTTCCCTTACTGATTAATGCATAAATAAAGATTTGCATAAATAAGTTTATAAAGAGAAATAGTGCAGAAAGTTCACAAAAAATACATAGGAAAATATAGGTACATAAAAATTATAAAAACAACGTTTAATACACTCCCTTGCGTTTGACCTATACAAAATAAAACAGTACAATGATTTATCTTTATAGACGTAAACTGTAACTTAAGAAACTCGTTAACTTTCAAACTTATAAAGGTCTGATTTCGGCTAATATGCTTTCACTAGCATTACTTTTGCATATTAAATTATTTTTACTTTTATATTTGACACCCATCCACTAAATTTGATAGCCATTAGAATTTGATTAGAATACCAGATTTATATTCTGTGTGGGTGAAGCCTAAATCTTAGCTCAAGCCTATAAATTGGGACGGGACGATCCACGTGACTAAAATATATTTTTTATAAAATAAGACAAAACCTCCTTAAACCAAACGTGTTAAAAAAACAATTGAAAAAGTTTGACACCTGAATAAGTTTAAATTATATAGGTAGGTACTAGTTACGTTTATGTACAATTATATTTTATTTTTAACGTAGTATTATGTAGTTTTTGATGTGGTAGAGTGGTGTCTATAGCAGTTTTCAAAGTAGCGCCTACTTTGAGTTTCTGGGTGGAATTTGCACCCAGACATTTGTATGAGTCAGGACTGTTTATACGAAGCTCCTTGCTGTCCATGATATGGGCCCACCTCTCCTAATTCATTTATTAAGATAGTTCTCGTCTAATCATACAAGAAAACATTTTTGGTAATGAGCAGAGACGAACAAAATTAAATAAAAAACAATAGTCGTATGGATGTGTAACATTTCACATCTCACCTTAGTAAAAAAATAAATAAATAAAACCAATTTCAAAATATATAAGCATTTTTAACATTATATTCTGAAAAAGAATAAAATTCAAGAGCGCATCCTTGACAGGTTAAAAAACACTTCCGTCCTATTACACAGAATCACTCCCACAAATTGTAACTTATTTTTCGTGTTGCCGTCTTGAAAACTAATCTCTCTCGTCTCGAAAGTTTTTCAGTTTAGAAATTGCATAGATATTTTAAAAAAGGTATTTTGTCTGTGGACAGTTCCAAGCAGCCCTGTTGCAACGGTGGCTGCTGCCTCACTTCATGTGCCCTTTCTGCCCCTTCGTGCAAGCGCTGAGTGTTAACGTAAGCGTTTTTACGTTAACGGCCATTGCTGTCGACAGACATCGGGCCATAATTACTCCACTGAGGTAAGTGAAATAAAAAAAAAGTATGTATGTAATTTTCTTCGAATATTGCAACTCATAAGCTATCATAACTGATTTATATAATTGGCATCAATCTCGATTAGGTACAAATACAATATTGGTATTTTATTTATCTAATATATTAAATTCTCCTGTCACAGCGTTTGTTACAAAAGTTCTCCGAAAAAGGCTTGAGTGTTTTTTTTTATATATATTCTGTACACACAAATATAGATAAAGGAGCAACTTAATTAAAGAAACATGTATAAGGCCACAACTTATTTCAATCTGAAATTCCTTTCAGTAGGCCCGTGGTAGGAAAGAATATGAGAAAAGGCAGACAGCTTATACATCAGAATAAGCATACATGTAAAATACTTATAAATATGGGAACTACATATATCAGGTTAGGCCTGCCACTTAATAGTTTTAAACTCGGTGAACTCACTTGCAAGTGAGTTCACCGAGTATACGAGTAAGTATTGAGGTCAGGGCAGACAGTAGCAGATCCGATGGTTGCCTTTTGCAGCTTCTCTTGATATTGGAGCAGGCGTGATTTAAACAGCTTTTCAAGATTTTGCATGTTCTAAAGCAGATTGTATTCTATGTGGCAGTGTGGTAATTTAAAGACAGTTAAGTAGGTGAAAAGTTTAGGATAATTATAACAGCAGTTGTGTGGGAGCTCTACAGGTATTTATTCCATTAAAGGAAAGTAGGCACGACATTATTGGATTTTTTTGTGACTTATCAAAGGCGTTTGACTGCGTTAGCCATGAAACATTGCTAAATAAAATGAAGCATTATGGTGTATCAAATATTTCACTAAGTCTGATACAGTCTTATATTTCTGCTACAATTCAAAAGTAGTTATAAATGAAGCTGAGTCTACAGGAGCATATGGGCGTGCCCCAGGGTTCAATATTGAGCCCATTGCTTTCCTTATTTATATCATTGACCTTCCTCACTTTACAAGAGATTTGTGTAAGACAGTACTATTTGCTGATGACACCTCTTAAGTGTTTAAAGCTAGAAGAGGAAATGATTGTTATTACGACGTAAATTGTGCTTTCTCGTAAGTAATTTATTGGTTCACGGTAAATAAATTAAAACTTAACTACCTAAAGAGAGGCAGGTTAATACTAGTATAAAAATAAATGACCAGCCTGTAGAGTTTTGAGAGCCTGTTTATTTTGTGAATTCTACAGAGTTTCTGGCTAATACTTTAGACTCTCATCTGCAATGGAATCCTCATATTGATGCCTTATCAAGTAGACTGAGCTCTGCGGCTTTTACTGTTAAAAAAACGAGTGTGCTTATGACCACACGACTGAAGTGAAACTTCTTTAGCTTCATCTGTATGTATAATATATGTATATATATATATATGTATATATATATATATATATATATATATATATATATATATCTAATATATAAAATTCTCGTGTCAGGGTAATTGTGTAATTGAACTACTCCGAAACGGCTTGACCGATTTTCGTAAAATTTTATATGCATATTCAGTAGGTCTGAGAATCGCAGAATATCTTTTTTCATCCCCCTAAATGTTAAGGGTGGTTCACCTTTATTTTTTTTATTGTTGACAAAATGTTTTTGGTTCTATTTTTTATGATACATCATATAAAAATACATACAACTCTAAATTTTCACCCTTCTACCACCAACCCCTATTTTTTTATGGTGATACGAAGTTCGCTGGGACAACTAGTGAGGTAGTCGTGGGACGCCCTGTATATACATATACCTACACGGACACGGAGGAAAAGTATATTAAATATTAAAGATAGGGTATTTTACTGAAAGAAGACATCATTTTATTTTTAATAATAACTAGAACTGCTTCCGAGTGTGAACGGCTGAGCTGTATTGTTGTCCTTTTCTTGAAAAGCATCGAAGGAATTGTTTTATCTTTATAATACAGAATATACGCAATACTGTAATGTTGAGTGCACATGCAGCGTGTTTGAATGTCCAATTGTGACTACAGCGAATTGTGATCGTGCACCACAATTTAAGCGGATCACTTTTGAGCCGCGAGTGCCGTATCTTCCCTTTTTGTGTTAATCTAAAGCAAGCCATACACGCTAGGGTATACCTGACAGGTTTACTTGTACAGTTCAACTGCACAGGTAAACTTGAGTTTAGTAGAGACCATACACGTAGTAGTAAACCTGCACAAACTTTCAGTTGAAACCATGACCCCGATCGCTCTAACAATCACCGGACAACTGACGCCTGCGCAAACGACCGCCACACACGCTCAGTTTTACATGCACAGTTAAACTGCACAGGTAGAAAATATCAAAATTTATATCTTTTCGTGTTGCCTGTACAAGCGTGGAAACCTGCGCAGTTATATGACATACACGTTCCGTTTTTTAAACTGTACTGTCTGGGAATAGGACATCAACTATTTTCCATAAGTGATAATGGTGGTTTACCCCAGAATATTTATTTTAATTTTGTGTTTTTTTTTATGATTCGGCATTAAACAATACGTACAACCCTAAATTTTCACCATTTTACCACCAACCCCTGTTTTTAATGTGTTACGAAGTTGCTTGTAACTTTATCATAAAAGCTCGATGTGCGTAGTTATTCGCGCGTTATATCTGCAATATGAAAGTCAAGCAACTTCGCAATGGCTGGTCGTAGGTAAAATATATTATCTTGAAGTCCTCCGCACTTCGGAAGGTAAGTTAAGTCATTGTTACCAGCTGCATCTATAGTCGTCGTACATCTGCAGTTGAGAAATTAATAGGATGATGAATAATTTATGTCGTTTATACTGACGTAAATTGAATGTAAATTTATGTAAATATACCTTAAGTATCGCAGAATATTTCTTAGGGGTAAAGTTATTAAAAATGTCCAATCCGTGTACTAAGATTGTCACACCTAAACAATACTACAACTGGTAAAGTGTCGGGAAGGGAGACAGGCTATATCAGATATTTTCTTATTCGTAACTGTTTGTGCATTTTGTGCAGTTTCTTTAAGTAGCCTATACCACAGATTAGGACAGATAAATCACTCCCTTATAAAAGTTAAAATTCCTATATCGTATTAGTCTTAAAGTATTTAAAAAAATCACTGCAACACGAAACGTACTCTACGAACACGCGCCGAGAATTGTGATTCCCATGTACACCAAGCGATTGGGTCATCGAGCAAAGGGTTAGGTTTTACAAAATGAAACCAATTGAATGAAGTCAAAATTAAATTGTAATATTTGTAATTTATTGCAACGAAGTTAATGTAAGGAAAGCAGCTGACTTAAATGCGATTTCAGTTTTATAATATGGCTGATTTTATTCCATGTCTTTGAATGACGTAAGAAAAAAAGTTTTTTTTTACTTTCGAAAATATTCGCCGGCGCCTGTTTTGGTTCCGTTACCTTATAAAATTTAAAATATACGAAATATACGTATTTAGTTAGTTTAATTTGTTTTCTCCATAGAAAAATAATCCTAAGTAAAATTAAAAAGCGTTTTTTTTTAATTATAGTTAAATGGAAAGTTTAACATTTCACTTTATTTTCTGTCTCAGATATATGGTATTATGCGTTTCCTTTATTTGAAATATCTTGAAAGTTAAATGTAAAGCCATTATTTAAACCCTCATTTGGTATTGCAGTGCATGCTAATTCTTGACTCAAAATACTAAATGAGCCTTCCTTTTTATGAAATGAAATAAAGCAAAACCTTAATCCCTCACAGAGTGCATTTACGAACTGGGGATATAAAATAGCGAAATTTAACAAAAAATTTTAAAAATATTGTATAATGACGATAATACAAAACAAATAAACAATAAAATTAATTCATAAAAAGCATCTGAAATATTTTTTCTGGACCTAGTACTCTATGTTACTTATACCATACAAAACTGACAAGTCGAATGCTTTAGGAATATCATTAACTATATTATTTTATGTTTCATGAAATAGGTTCTTATCTTGTTAAAGTTAGGTTAAAATAATACAGATAGGAATGATAATTGCGCGGTGCAATCTGGCAAGTTTACACCTTCTGGATACTACATACAAATGTATGGTAAAAGTAAAAGATATTTCCCACTGAAACTCAATGTTAATAAGTGAGTTTGCCCTTACTTAGTATAACAGAAGTTCTTAGACGCCTGCTAATCTTACGAATTGGATGTAAAATCAGTTAACACCGCAATATTAGCATAACAACCTAGTCTTTACCCCCCTTGGATGGAATCTCTTGACACTTTCTACAGTTATATAAGTAAAGCTTGTAGCTATTAATAACAACTTTACCATGTGACATTGCCAAAGGACAATCGTCTGTCCTTTTTATTCCCTAAGCAGTGCTAAACTAGTGTTCATGTTATATCAATATTTGCTGGGATTAGTGCTGTAGGCTGTGATGTAGTGGAATTACATTGGAAGATCATCAGAGACTAGGGCTAGACTATACCACAAACTAAGTTAAGCCGCTAACTTAAGAAACTTGTTTCTTGGAAGTGAAACTAGTTTATTGGAAAAATTACTGAAAACTTTAACGCGAAAAAAAATATTCTTGTTCATCATTGATTTTGAAAAGTAATTGTATTTGAAAAATTGAGTTCAAGTGAAGACAATGAGTGTGATGAACTTACTTTGACACCTTAGATTATATTATATATAAGATTATAGAAAACTTGTTACTGCTAAAAGTGAGCTTCTCTCAGCTACACATAGTTATAAGTTACGCATCTAGAAATCAATGTATGTGCTTAATTTGATAAGTTAATACTTAACTTTAGCCACGAATTTCCTTCGTGTCTCAAATATCCTTTTGTCGTAAGCTAATACAAATTAAGTATACTCTTCAAAAGTTTCTCGGTATAAGGTGAAATTTTGCAATAAAATTATGTCCGGTTCAATTTATCACATCTAGTCTTCCGGATTGATTCGTCAAGTCTCTCGGAATACAGTGATATTTTGCATTAAAATTTTGCCCGGTTCAGTTGTTCAA